CCACATTTTTTATACCACATCTCTAATAGAGGTGGAGCCTACCAATACAATGGGGCCCACCTCTATTAGAGAGGTGGTATGAATGTGGTATGAAAAATGTGGTAAGCCTAGCATTTTCCTTATTCTATATATATAAAGCAAAAGGTAGAGAATAGTGAAACATTCAAAATACCAGAAAATGCCCTTGGTTAATGCAAATATTGAGAATTGAAATTATTAATTAAATGAGGATAATATGGTAAATTCACACTTTTTCATATTAACAAAATTAAAAATTAAAAAAAAAACAGATAATGGATCCTCTTTTTATGGAACACAACTACCCATTATCCTTTTTAATTCTAAATAAATTTAAAATTTTTTAAAAAATGCCTCTCATAGGCACGGAAGCGCATGCAGAGAGGCTAGTATAATTAAAGAGTATAGTCGCGTGGTTATACTATCTTTTTATATATATAAAAAAAAAGCCGAGTACAGCCGCGCGGTTATAGTATTTTTCAATTTTTTTAAAGAAACGAGTATAGCCGGCCGGCTATACTATTTCTTTTTAAAAAATTGGAAAAAACCTCTTATAGCCGCGCGGCTATACTATTTCTGCTTTAAAAAATGTGAAATCCGAGTATAGCAGAACGGCTATACTATTTCTTTAAAAAAAATTGGAAAAACCCGAAGATAGCCGCGCGGCTATACTATTTCTTTTACAAAAAAAATAAGAAAAAACCGGTATCACCGCGCTGCTATACAATTTGTTTTTTAAAAAAAGGGAAAAATCTGAGTATAGCCACACGACCGTATATAGCAGTGCGGCTATACTATACTAGAAAAAACGAGTATAGCCTATTGGCCATACTATTTAAATACATTATATTTAAATAATATAGCTGCTCGGCTATACGCTATAATAATAATAATAAAATTATGAAAAAAGGACCCTCCTAGTTGGATTAGTTTATACTTTATAGACATTAATTTGGTATAGCTCGCGTGGCTATACTTATAAAATATGTACGTATTTTATTCGGCAAATTACAACTTAAAAGTTTGGCCATTATATAATATTTTAATATAATTTATTTAAAGTGTGTAATATATATTATATGTATTCAATAATATGTGTATATTTTGTGTGTATTATTGAAAATTTTGTAAAGAATATACTTGTATTAAACATGAAAAATACATATGTACATTTTCAATATGAGTATTGTACGTTTGCTTTTTAAAAAAGCTGAATTTTACCTAGTTTTTTAGATGTGTACAAAACACGGATGTATTATTGAAATATAGGTACGTACATGTATAATACAATATTAACATGAAATTGCAAAATTCTTTATACAAATAATGACTCTGGAAAAGCAAAAATAAAAAGGGGACGATAGAGACTCGGATAATGGCCTAATAGTAATGGATAATGCTTTAAACTACTCTTATTAATAAACAAAAATCGAGGGAAAAATATAAAAGAAAAAGAGGATCCCACTATACTATTTATTATTTTAAAAAAATTTAAAAAAATAGCCGAGGAAAGCCGGGCGGCTATACTATTTCTTTAAAAAAAATTGTAAAAATCAGAGTATAGCCGAGCGGCTATAAGATTTCTTTTTATAAAAAAAGAAGAAGAAAAAGCCGAAGATAGCCGCGCGGCTATACTATTTCTTTTTAAAAAGTTACATAAAACAGAGTTTCGCCGCACGGCTATACTATTTCTTTTAATTTTTTTCAAAAATCGCGTATAGCTGTGCGGCTATACTGTTCTTTAAAAAAAAGAAAAAAAAAAGAAAAAACGAGTGTAGCTGCGCAGCGATACTATTTAAATACATTATATTTAAATGGTATAGCCGCTCGGCTATACTCTTTAATTAAAAAAAAATTGTGAAAAAGGACCCTCCTAGTTGCATTAGTTTATACTTTATTGATATTAATTTGGTGTTGTAAAATTGTGATGAAGTTATAAAATTCAAGTTCTAGTCTTTGATGTTAAATTTTGTGAATTCGCTAGATATAGGGGAAGAGAGAGTAATTGCAATTTAAATTTTTGATTTTTTTGAAAACGAAAACTTTCATGGAATTGAACGACAAGCCAAGAAATGCAGGAAGGCAAAAGATTTAATGACAGGACCATGGCAATTTGTTATTAAGTGGAAGAGAAGTGTTTAAATTTTCTATCTTATAACTTCTTCGTCGTCATACATTGCTCAAGTATAGCTTGAGGATGTGGGCTATGAAGGTTGCTAACGGAATGACCGACAGAAGTGTGGGTAAACCGATGGTGTGTTGGATCGCTATGTCTTGACTTGGACATGAGCGAGCCACGAGTTTGGCATGCGACGTGGTCGATGCAGTTGACGTGTCTTATACAACGCTTGATGTATGGGCGTCGAGGGTTCGTTGCCGGATGCGGGTGATTGTGTTGTCAAAAGGAAGTGTGACTCGTTGTCTAGCTATGGGGCATGGCATCTATGGGAGATGACACATGATGGGGAACCTCTCGCGGAGTTGTGAGAGTCATGAATATCATGAAGCGGGGAGAAGGCTGACTGGGATCCGAAAGGATCTTGGGCCGCACGGGTGTGTTTGAGCGAGCGAAATTTGTGTTTTGCTTCCGCCGCGCCGCGTCGCACGCTCATCCCGTGACACAAGGGAGGGATAGTGGATAAACCAACCAACCCAGGAGGAAATGGTGTAAAGCAGAAAATAAAGAGAGTCGCGCACTATATCTTTAATTATATGATTTCTTGTTTGGGAATGTTAGCAACTTTCTCTCCAACCTTCTTTTTGGACTTTCTCCATTTTCTTCATAGCATGTGTCACCTTCCTTATACTTAAAATAATGTCATGAAGGGATTTTCATAGAAATATTTCACATGAACTTATACCTAAGTTTCAATTTGTCACCTCAAAGAAAAATTTAAGAGAAATGTCACCTTAATTTTTCAAAATCCATAATTTGTTATCTGACTTTAACATGATCCAATTTTTCATCCATTCTAAAGGTATTTTAGTTTTCTATTTTCAAGGAAAACAAAGATAGAAATAAGAGACCTATCTCTCCCTTTCTCCCCCACCCCAACACCCCTAGCCTCCCCCAAAACACATCGCACATGATCCCCCTCCCCCATCTCTCTCTCTCTCTCTCTCTCTCTCTAATAGGACATATTGTAAAAGTATCTATATGATATGAGGCAGGAGACGAGAACAATTTATCTTGCTAGTTTTTTTTTTTCCATTGCAAAAGTATGTATATGCAAGATTTATGATGCAAATAAACAAGACACTGTAATTTTTCGTTTGTTTGTTTATGCATTCAAGTGCATAATAACAAGACCACTAGTATGCATGTCTTGCCATTTTAATAAATAATAATTAGTAAGGTTTTGCTTGGTCTTACTATATTCAATTCTAACCTCTATTAGGTTTTAATTGGCCATTATGTCATCACTTATAATTTGAGATGTTATTGGTGTCAGAAAAACTACGCATGCAATGTGGATGTAGTTATATATGAAAAGGAAAGATGGAGGCCAAAAAAATATAATTAAGAACACCATTCATAAAATTTAAAATAAAAATAAAAATAAAATCTGATACATTTGCGTATTAAGTGATGCAATGGATGCCTAAGTCCTAGTCTAAAATATTTGTTTGCAAAGGACGAGACCCTTAATTAAGCAAAGCCTCTTTGAAATTGCTTTACGACTTTTAAATTTTTTCTAATTACATTTTTCGTTCTTGATGACTTCTAGACGGATCAAAAGTAAACATTGAAGAGAAAGGGAAAATACTTGATGCCTTAACCAAATTCGTGATTATTATTTGATCCATGGTTCTCTTTTACTCCATATATATTGTGATGAAAAGATCAAGTAATTGCCTTGAAATTTCCTTCAAAAATCTCACAACAGTTTAACCAAGAAACCAACCATTCAAATAATAATTGGCCTCTTCATTGAAACGCAAATGAAATCACTCATTGACCCAAGACTTTTCTCCCTCTCATTGACCAAGAAACCAACCATTCAAATATAAGTAGACTCCCATTGGAGACGTTGGAGATAACTGACGAGAAAGCGTGTGCTTACTGTAACTACACGATTTCAACCTTTTCACCCTCTCTCTCTCTCTCTCTCTCTCTCTCTCTCTCTCTCTCTCTCTCTCTCTCTGTGTCTCTCCCTGTCTGCTGGCCACTACTTTTATATCTCCTCTTTTCTGAGGCTGTTAGCTTTGCTTGTTCTTGTTAATTTATTGGCTGATCTTGAGAAGTATTTTTTGTGAGTTTTGGTTGGCTTGCTTCGTCTACCTTACCATATCTGCTTTGTTCAGGTAACATTAATTAATAAGCTAAAGCATATGCAGTTTCTACTTCAATGCTGTAGTGATGAGGCTTTTCAATGCCAACAAAGTTGTTTTATAGATGTGTTATTTTTGTCTCTCTACGGTAATATTCAAGATAAGATTTTTCTTATCTTTTGAATTATTGGTCTAGGTAGGAGAGGATAACAATTCTCTCATGTCTAAATTTCTTTTTTTTTGGTTACATTGGGAGGAAAGAAACCCCTTGGAGTTTCGAACCTGGGTTGTCAAGCAGGGGGAAGGGGGAGGCCACCACTGTGGTACCTGCTCTCGACTGTCTAAATTTCTTTTTGATTGCAAAAATACATGTATATATATGCTGCAATATACATTTTGCTGTTTTCTAAATCTTGTTTTGTTACTCAAAACCAACGAATTTAATCAAGAGGAGAAGAAGCAAGAATGAAACCATGGTTAATATCACAATATGTCAAATGGGTGACACATTTGCGCATTGTTTCAAAAAGGGATGCCACGATGGATTGAATATGGTCCTTCAATAAAAATACTAGTGTGCATAAACTTCAATTAAAATACCGATGTGCTTGTACTCAAAAGCAAAGCCATTTTGAGTCTATTGTTTGCTCAAATTGCTCAAATTACATATAAACTTTTGTGTTGCGCTTGTACTCAAAAAAATTCCTCAATTAATTTTCAGAATTAACTAGTTATTTTTTCTCATTGCGAACGAATTTTTTATTTATTTTTCCTTCATTGATGAGTTGTAGGAGTATGAAAAAACATGTAAAAGTAAAATCCTTGACCAAATTTCGTTATTATTGTGAGGGAAATATCAAGTAATTGCCTGCATATTTCCTTGAATTAAATCTCACCACAGTTTTACCAAGAAAGCAACCATCCAATCAGAAGAAAGCACTCATTGAAAAGCAAAAGAATCATGTTGCTTTCTTCTTGTTGGTTTCTTGGCTGATCTTGCTGGTCTTACAAATTCTCTGGCTCTGTAATTTTTCGGTGTTGAGGTAACACTAAGCTAAACTTGTTGGCTTGCTTCGTCCACATTTCTGTTTTGTTCAAGTAACATTAACTAAAGCATTGTTTTAGATGGCATTATATTTTTGTTTTAAATGTTGAAATTCGTAGTTTTGTTCCTTCTAATGTTTACTTTATATGTTGAATTCCTCTGTTTCTCTCTGTTGAAATACAAAACATATATAATTTTCCCAGCTCTCTCTGTTTCTCTCTTGTTGTTTCCTTTTCTTTGCTCTGAAACTTGTTTCCTCAACGTCCTTATTTCTCCTCTGGTTTAAATTTTAATCCTTTTCTTTTTTGCCGTTTCTCATCATCTTTCTATTAGCAAAAGGCTTATTTTCATTGAGTGTTTTCAGCAGCAGCAGATTGCCTAATGGCATTGAGCACAAAAAGAGACGCTACCTTTCTTTCTTCACCTGATCAGTCGGCTCCTCAACAGAACAACGATGTGTTTTTGAGTTTCAGGGGTGTAGACACTCGAAATAGCTTTGTATCCCATTTATACCACGAATTGCAGTTCAGGGGCATTAAAACATTCAAGGACGATCCTAAGCTTGAAAGAGGGACACCTATTTCTTCAGAGCTCTTCAATGCAATCGAAGAATCAAGGCTTGCAATCGTTGTTCTCTCCCCAAATTATGCGTCTTCTTCCTGGTGCTTGGATGAACTTACAAAGATTCTCCAGTGCATGAAATCCAAGAGCACCGTTCTGCCAGTGTTTTATCATGTGGATCCTTCCGACGTACGAAAACAAACTGGTAGTTTTGCGTGCGCGTTCGCTGATCATGAGGAAAGGTTTAGGGAAGACAGAGAAAGGGTCAAGAGCTGGAGAACTGCTTTAACTGAAGTGGCCAATTTATCTGGGTTTGATTCAAAGAATGAGTAAGTTTTTTCGTAAGCCATTTGATGTAACTTCAAGTGGCCAAGTTATATGTATGTCCTATATTTTAGACTTCATGATCGCTTTTACTTTTCCTCCTTGTAGGTGTGAAAGAAAGCTTATTGAAAATATTGTTGAATGGGTGTGGGAGAAAGTGCGTCACAGATTCAAATTGTTAGATTCCAAAGAGTTAGTGGGAATGAAGTTTATACGTGAGCAAGTAGATTTGCTTTTAGCTCATCCTACGGATGATGTTCGCTTTATAGGGCTATGGGGGATGGGCGGAATTGGCAAAACAACCATTGCTCAGCTAGTTTATGATAGCATTTCTACCCATTTTGAAGTTAGCAGCTTTCTTGCTAATGTTAGAGAGGTTTCTCAACGTGGTAATCTTGTTGATCTGCAAAGACAACTTCTTTCCCCAATCTTAAAGGATCAATTTACTCAAGTTTGGGATGAACAGTGGGGAACCTCTGTCATTAAGAATTGCTTGTATAATAAAAAGGTTCTTCTCATTCTTGATGATGTGAGTGAATCAAGCCAACTTGAAAAGTTGGCTGGTGAAAAGGATTGGTTTGGTAAGGGGAGTATAATCATTATTACAACTAGAGATAGACGGTTGCTAGTTAAACATGATATACATATATCATGTAACGTAGAGGCGTTAGGTAATGATGATGCTCTTGAGCTCTTCAGTTGGAACGCCTTTAAAAAAAATGAGCCGGAGGAAGGTTATTTGGAATTGTCAAAGGGTTTTGTAAATTATGCCAGAGGACTTCCACTAGCTCTTAAACTTTTGGGATGCTTAGTGTATAAGAGAGATCAATATGAATGGAAAAGTGAATTGGATAAGCTGCGGAAAATTCCTAAGTCAGAAATTATTGATTTGCTCAAAATAAGTTACGATGGACTGGATGAGATGAATAAGGATATATTTCTTGATGTTGCATTTTTTCACAAGGGGATGTTCAAGGAGTGTGTAATTGAAATACTAGACTGTTGTGGCCTATGTGGTCATATTGGGATAAATGCTCTTGTTCAGAAATCACTTTTAACTATTGATATTTCAAATAACACGGTTGAGATGCATGATTTGATACAAGAAATGGCATTGGAAATTGTTCGTCGGGAGTGTTCTGAAGAGCCTGGTAGACGAAGTCGATTGTGCAATCGTGATGATATCTCTCATGTATTCATAAACAATACGGTAAGAATTATGTAGAAAATACTAAGTTTTTAAAGAAATATGATTTATTTTTATCTTGAAATTTTACTTAAATGTGCAATTAACTTTTCCTTTACTATTCTTAATTATAGGCAACATACAAAATTAAAGGCATTGCCTTACGCATGGCGAGACTTGAAATGGCAGATTGGAATTGTGAAGCCTTCTCTAAGATGTGTAACCTGAAAGTTCTTGAATTTGATAATGTGATCATTTCTTCAAGCCCCAGAATTCTTCCTAATTCCTTGAGAATTATCAAATGGAGTCGGTATCCTTCCAAATTTCTCCCATCAAGTTTTCAACCGAATTTCCTTATTGCACTTAAGATGCGTGAGAGCAAACTTGTTCGGCTTTGGGATGGAAGAAAGGTAAGAGTAGTGACCATATGCCATTCTAGAAATTAGTTTTTTATTTTATTTTAAATATTTTGTTTTAAAAATTAAAATAAATATGAGCTAATTATCTATTCTACCATTGTTATGAATTGCACAGGACTTGCCCAACTTGAAAAAAATGAAGCTTTTTGGCTCTAAAAACTTGACCACAACCCCAGATTTCAGTGGCGTTCCGAATCTTGAGTTGTTGGATTTTCAATTTTGTAAGAATTTGGTTGAGATTCACCCGTCAATTGCAAATCTCAAATGTCTTAAAAGCTTGGATCTTGGTTATTGCTCAAAATTGAAAAAGATTCCAGAATTTTCAAGGCAAATGAAAAATTTGTCAACGCTTAATTTAAGCGGGATGTCCATTGGGAAATTATCTTCATCAATCGGATGTCTGGTTGGCCTTACTGATCTGTCACTACAGAATTGCAACAATCTCACGGGTCTTCCGAGTGAAATTTGTAATTTGAAATCTCTTACAGAGCTCGAGGTGAGTGGATGCTCAAAAATTGACAAACTCCCAGAGAACATGGGGGAGATGGAGTGTTTACTTAGGCTTCATCTGAATGGAACTGCTATAAGACAGCTGCCACGCTGCATTGTTGGTTTGAAAAAACTGAGGGATCTATCTTTGGGTGGAAGAAGTGGATCACAGCCTAATAAATCAAGGTTTTGGTGGGGCCTCCCCCGCTTAAATGGAAGAAAGGCATTTGTGTTGGCTTCGCTTGATGGTTTATTCTCTTTGAAGTATTTGGATCTAAGTAATTGTGGCGTTTGTGAAGGGGATCTTCCCAGTGATATTGGTTGCTTCTCCTCTTTAGAAAAATTAAGTCTTAGTGGAAACAATTTTGTTAGCCTTCCTGCAAGCATTGGATGTCTTTCTAAGCTCAAGTTATTTTGGGTGAATGGGTGCCAAAGTCTTGAACAATTGCCAGATCTTTCTAAGCTTATCTCATTGGTGGATATAAACATAGCCAATTGCACTTCCTTAAAAATGTTACCGCATCTTTCGTCAAATTGCTCATTAAACAACGGAATACATTTTAATTGTGCCAATTGCTTTGTATTGGTTGACAATGAAGGCTGCGACAGTATAATACTGAAAATGCTACAGCGATACCTTCAGCCTCGGGTTCTCTCTCTATCTGTCTGTCTGTCTGTCTCTCTTTTGTTGTTTGCTGTAATAATAATTACAGCTTACTAACCTCGTATATATCTTTGTATATGTTACAGGTACTCCGTTTTATTAGGCCTCTTTATGGATTCACAATTTTAACTCCTGGAACGAAAATTCCAGAGTGGTTCAGTAATCAAAGTTTGGGAGATTCCCTAACTGTGGAGCTACCTACCACGTGGATGGGAATTGCTTTTTGTGCTGTGTTTGAAGTTCAGGCTGATCTTTCTGATGTTCATTATTTTCAAATGAACTGTTCCCCACAAGGAATGCGGACACATGGAGTATTTCCAAAAGAATTTAATATAGGCGATGTTGTGTCAGATCACCTTTGGGTAATTTATGCATCTCGTATACAATCTGAGAAGAAATGCAGTCAGATAAAGTTTTTATTCACAACTTATTATTCTCATCAAGGCATAATGCTGGAACACAAAAAATCTTGTGTGAAGAAGTGTGGGTTTTTGTCACACCCCAATTTATTTACTTAATTATTGAGAGTGTGAGGTAAAAGAAAAACTAAAACTTAAAATTTAAATAGCAAGAAACATGAGAATTAAACATAAAACTTCTATTTAAACCAGAGTAATTTACATTGTGATTTTACAAGCAAAATAACATAAAAATACAGACTTTTAACAAAACATCTAAAATTATCTGCAACACTTTCTTCTTGTTTTCTTGTCACAACTAAACTTCAGATTCAGAACCTGCAATAAATTCATTAAGGGGTGAGCATTACATGCTCAGTAGGGGCCCTATAAGATTAGTGAGATTTTTAATGTACAATTTATGCAATGTATGAAGGAACTTCAATTCTACCCAACCCGTTAATCTATATAATAGGGCAAGCAAATCTGCATGTCCCATACCATGCATTTTACCACTGTGATTCCGAATGCCCCATTATATAAACTAACACCCATTTCAATCATCCCATAATTCCCCTTTTGCTAGTCATCTTGTCCATACCATTGATCTCCAAGCCCAAATCACCCAATCGACAATTATACCGC